TCATCAACATAACTGCTGAACAGCAGTTGTGTCACCAATAGCATCATGTATTACAATTGCTGACCAGCAGTTGTCGTCAACATCATCCACGTACTTGCTGACCAGCAAGTGTCATCAACATCATCAACATAACTGCTGAACAGCAGTTGTGTCATCAATAGCATCAATAGCATCATGTGTTCCAGCTGCTGATCAGCAGGCGGATGTGGCGCGAAAAGGCCCGCCTGGTTGCACGCCAAAGGCCCTCGGTGATGCTGGTTGTCAAACAAAAATTTAGCATTGTGGCAATAGTGTGGTCAACATGATCTTGTTTGCAGGGGTCCCCGCCGCCTCATGCTGCGGCTTCACCACGCGCTGCGAAGGCCCTGGCCAACGGCGGCTGTTGCTAAATGGATGACTTGGGTTCAAGCATGTTCAAGCTGCAATTGCTGACCAGCAATTGCCGTCAACATCAATGATGTTGGTGTCTTACATATAAATAGTTGTAAGATACAGTAGATATACAGTATGGATTATCAACAAACAAGCTTTCAACATTGTGAGTTCGAAGTGGAGGCCACCCCGCCGCCTTCACCAGCTACTGCTGCGAAGGCCCTGTCCAACGGCGGCTGAAGCTAAATGGATGACTTGGGTTCAAGCTGCAATTGCAGACGATTAATTGTCGTCAACATCATCGACATTGGTGTCCTATTTCTATATATATTATATACATATATATATATATATGATCCAGATATATGGATTATCAGCAAACAAGCCTTCAACATTGAATTGGAGGCGACCCCACCGCCTTCAGCAGCATCAAGCAAGGCTCCGGCGAAGGCCCTGGCCAACGGCGGCAGTAGCTAAATGGATGACTTGGTTCAAGCTGTAATTGCTGACCAGCAATTGTCGTCAACATCAATGTTTTCAACATTGTGAGTTCGAATTGGAGGCCACCCCACTGCCTTCACCAGCTTCTGGTGGAGCTGCTGCTGCGAAGGCCCTGTGCAACAGCGGCTGTAGCTAAATGGATGAATTGGGTTCAAGCTGCATTGCTGAACAGAAATTGTCGTCAACATCATTGACCTTGGTATCCTGTATATATATATATTTTGTATGTATATATAAGATAGAGATTTCGATTATCAAGAAACACAGATGGATTAATATACATGTAAACATGTGATATTTAATACAACAGTACGATTTCAATATCATTTTAAGAAGGGTGTAAGTTTAAGATAGCCACTGTGTCTTGCAGGCTAAGAGCCAGCCAGAAGCTAGCAGCAGCAGCAGCAGCAGCAGCAGCACGACTAGCGAGGCAGGACTCACTAGCCAAGAGATTCAGGCCAGGGTGTTTCCTGTCTTGCTCGTGTAGCAGTAGCTATAATTTGGCGCAGAATGCTGTCTGTCAATCAGGAGATCTTGGACGCGCCGCTCGATGAACAGAAGGCACCTAAGGCACCGGTTCTTGTGTCCTGGTTTGCTGTCCAGCAAGACTTTTTGCTGCTGTCCAGCAACCGGTCTGTTGTTGAGTTAGATTCATGTTGCTGTCCAGCAACACTTGTCAGCTTAGGTTCGTGTTGTTGCTGCCCAGCAACAGTGTAGGAAAATTCTTGTTGCTGTCCAGCAACACTTGCTAAGTTACGTTCATGGTGTTCTTGCTGCCAGCCAGGCAAAAGCACCTGCCAAGAAGGCGATGCCAAAGCCTGGGAAGAAAGCAATGCCGCCTCAGAAGGAGGCTGAAAAGAAAGCAGAAAAGCCAAAGAAAGAGGAGGCACAGCCAAAGAAGCCCGAGGAAAAGAAGGAGGAGCCAAAAGAGGAGAAGGAGGAGGCAAAGCCAAGTAAGCCCGAGAAGGCGAATCCGAACACGGCCAAGGAGACGATGAAGATGAAAGAAGAGCCCAAGACAACGGACGCAAAGCCGAAGAAGGCCGACACAACGATGGAGAAGAAAGTTAAAAAAGAGGCAAAGAAAGAAGAGAAAAAGGCAAAGGCCGCAAAGAAAGCAAAGGAAGATGAGCCAAAGAAGGAAGAGGCTGGAGGAAAAAGGAAGAAACAAAAGGACGAGGAGGCGGGCCAGCGCGTCGTCTAACGCATTATGATTTAAATGCAAACTCGTTGAATACCCCCATCGTTTTCAAAACTCCAGCAAACTATGTTGAATAATTCTATTCTTGTTCAACATGCCGTCCACGTTTCAACATCTATGGCCCTGCTTCCATTGGCAGGAAGATGATGCAAAAAGATCGAAGAGGCAAGATAAGTTTTTTTGAGCTGAAGGGAGAACTCTTCCCAACCCCGGCCGAAAGTGTTCCGCCTTGTTCAGGTGAAGATGCTCATGACCGACCTTCACCTGAATCTGAACGCGTTGTGCCAACGGCATATAAGACCGGCAGGCTGAGGAGGCAAAACAGAGCGTATTTGTTCTTGCGTCCCTTTCCGTCACATGGGAGCCTTTTATTGCGTTTTTCGATCAACAGAGCCAAGGTCCGAGCGAAAGTCGTGGCGGTGGGCGCGAAGGCCTGGCAGAACCAGGTTCGTTGGTACAGTCTCACATCACTGTGCTGGACGGGCAGGTAGGGTTATTGTAATATACCCTTTGAAGTAAATTATATATATATTATAATATAACAATCTCAAATGTCACTGGCACTCTGCTGGACAGCAGGCTCCACCATCGAACTGCCGAACTGCTGCTCAGCAGTATTTTTATCATTGATAAAAAGTATATAATTCAACAATCTCAAATGTGAGTTACTCTGCTGGAGAGCAGACTCCACCATCGAACTGCTGCTCAGCAGTATGTTTATCATTGAATAAAGGTATATAATTCAACAGTTTCAATCTCAAATGTGTCACTGGCACTCTGCTGGACAGCAGATTCACCATCGAACTGCTGCTCAGCAGTTTTTTCAGTTTTTTCAACATGACTCAGGTTAAAATAAAATATCAATGGGAGTAAATTAAAAGACAATATCACATTTGAAATGAATTCTACAATGTTCAACCGTTAACAAACATTGAACTACATGGGCGATCACTTCCATGGTTGCAGATGAGTACAGGACACTGCCGTCGAGCTCTTGCAGGTTGCCATTGCAACTCTCCAATGGATGTTCGAAGAACTGCTTAGCAGTGTTGACATGCGCAGTAATCCATTGAAAGTGAAACCATAGTCAAACCATAATTGGAACCAGTTGGTCACAAATCATCCCTCTGCAAGCTGTTGATGGCCTGTTTTGTTTCATGCTTCCACTTGGGCCAAGGCTTCAGAAAGACAAAGGCGCGAGGCGCATGCTCATCCACAAAAATTTCCATTGTGACATTGCTGGACAGCAACGGCATACACTCTCAAAATGTTGTCGTAAGTCTGACATGTCACTGTTTATATATTTATATGCATTGCTGGCCAGCAATGCTCATATGTTTTTGTAAGTCAAATCCAGAACCTTCTCAAATTCTATAGTTGCGCCCGCTGCTTCGCGCATTTAGCCGCCCTGTCCCCCCCCTTTCTTGCCGCTCATTTGCATAAAACGTGATATTGCAATTTTGCATTTTGTTCTTTTTCTTTTTGGTTTGTCGTGTATGCTGTTCAAAAACATTTTTTGCATGCGAAGGGTTGGCCGCAAATTATTGCATTTTTTGTTGGTTTGCCGTGTATGCTTTTCAAAAGAAGTTGCAAAAAAATGCATGTATTAATTTGTTTTTTTGCTGTTTGTCGTATATGCTTTTCAAACATTTTTTTACAAACGGGTTGCAGCAACATCTTGCTTTGGTGCAAACCAGTCCCTGCAAGCAACCCGTCCCTAGCAACAATCCGGGCAGCCTGACTCTTCTCACCTCTGCTTTTCAACTGTCCATATTGTCGGAAGTTTCACTTCTAAACTTCCTTCGATAAATAACATTTAAATATATGTAATATCAATATATGTACTATATAGTTCTCTCCCAGCTATTATCCCGGAAGCTGCTTTCTACCCCTATAGATGGAAAAGACGGTTCACTCAGCGACAGCTGACACTTGGTCTTCCGGAGGGTTCTTGTCTTTGTCATGCTTCCTTCCTTTGGCCTTTTTCGGTTTCTTGTTCAGGCCATTCTGCAAAGCTTTGGCTGCCGCCTGGATGGCGAAATGCTCAGTCCAACATGCTACAAACTGAATTGCGTTTTGATATGGGAGTTTGACATGGCTTCATCCATTGACAACGCCGTGCGCTGCTGCAAATGTATTTTGATATGCATCTTGTTTTGATTCGATGTGGAATGTATTTGAAATGGCGTGAGCTTAAATGGAAAATGCATTGATATGGATCATGTTTTGATTCGACGTGGAATGTATTTGAATATCAAATTTATTCATTGATGGTAAATGCACATCAACACTGGCCCCACCCAGTAGGCCTCAGCTTTTTCATACCACATGACTTTCTCATCGATCACTGCCAAAAACTTGGCATACTGCTTCTCGTCCCCAACCTTGCGAGACCGCAGGTCCTGCAAAGACTTGAAGCACTTCTCCATCTTGTCGCTAAAGGCCATGAGTTTCGAGGACAGATCCCCCGAGTAGTCCAAAGAGGAAAGCGAAATGGCATAACGACGACCTTCAGCTGCTTTTTTCAAAGCATCATCCATCTTGCTGGCCAGCAGCCTTGGCAGGAGACAGTGACCAATTTGGAAGGCTGAAACACAGTACGGATTCCAAGATTGCATTCGCTGAGACATGGTTCCATGTTTGAATTCTGAATCCAACATGTTCTTTGAAGATGGACATTTGGCTAGGCTTGGAAGTAAACGAACAAAACATAAGGGAACTAAGATACTGGCTCATCAAACGTCTTTGGAATGACTTTGTCAGTCTTTTCTGCCTTCTCCTTCTTTGGCTTCGCTTTTTCAGCTTTCCCATCCTCGAGACCCAAAGACTCCTTAGGTCTTTCTCACCTTTCTCATTGGCAGTCCTGGTAGCTGCATGCATGCCAGCAGCCAATGGGCCCTCGGCCAAGGCCTCTGCAAGCTCTGCGCACTGGGTTTCGTTGACGGATACTGCGGTCGACTCCTTGGTCACGTTGTCATTGCGAACCTTGTCACCTTTGCCAACCAGGAAGTATCTTTCCTGGCAAAAGCATGATAGGGAGAAAAGGCATGATCAAGAAGATTAAATCCTGTATTGTAAAGTACAGATGATAGGAACACCAAGTGTATTGCACTCATCTTGTGGGAAGCATGTGAACTCTCATGGTAACTCTTTTGCAAATTACAAATTTGATGTGTAACACAAAAGTTTCAGAGTGGGTGCAGATTCAAATATCTTCGTGAACAGTGGTCATTCATTTTCTTGCTTGGAGATGTCCCTGGTTGACTCTTGGAATATGTTGTATATATGACTGAAGATTTGAAAATAAACGTAAAGGAGGAGATATGAAATGCATATGTATACCTATTCAAATATACATGTATGTATCATGTATGTATAAATATAAATATAATATATATATATACACAAAGTATACGTAAATATGTTTTATCAATTTAGATATTAGAATGCCATCATCAGCAGATACCATCCCCTAACTGCCCTCTGCATCTCTTGGAAAATCATCGTCCCAGTACCAGAGTCCACGGTCCAGCAAATTCTTCATCAAACTCTCAGCTTTCTCCTTCGGATAGCGTTGGAGAATCTCCCGGGGTTTCATGCCTTCACGCTCTCGCCTGTTGGGATGGATTCGAAGCGGCAATGGTGACTTCGCACAAGCAAAGGACCGGTCTTGACTGGATGGGAAGAGTTTGGGATTTCATAGGAATAAAAGAATTGCTTCAATGGATTTGAAATATAAGTAGGAGGATTGCATTTGAAAGTATCTTTTTAAAACTCATATGCTAAGAGGTTCATATTTTAAGGTCATCAAATTGACACTGGGAATGGTTTTGTGATACTTAGTAAGATGCAGTCAAGTAACCTGGACCAGTCCCCTCCATGCTGAAGCCAACCTCGAAAGAGGTCGGTTTTGTCCTTCATATAGTGGCTTGCAAGACCTTGAGGAAATTTCTTGCGGTCAAGACACTGTCTTGCAAACTTGCCCCATTCCGCGTGATGGGTTTTGCCTGGGTAACGGCATGGCTAGATGACAAAGGTGGGAAAGAACACATCCAGTTCCGCTTTGATTGAACATTGCCTGGGGTGCTAAACTCTTGAGCTTTATCTAAAATGGTTGACACTTTTTTTTCCTGGGTATAGTTGAAAGAGGATGCAATGAAGGTTGAAGGCTAGGTGCTGTTTGCATCGGCAAACTCCGCGGCAACACGTTCCCTTTGCTCCTCAACCGCGACGGCCAGAGCCTGCTGCTTAACCTCAGGCTGCTTGAGAATTGACTTTGGTTCCTCTGGGCTAGTGTTCTTCTCAGCCTCCTTCTCAGCCTCCTTCTCAGCCCCCTTTTTCTCCTTGTTCTCGAGTTTGTTCTGATCTTTCGCAGGTTCATCTCCAGCAAGTTGGTCCAGAGACTTGTCAAACTTCTCCATGTCAATATCTGACTCCATCTCAGCATCACTGCCTTCTTCATCCTCCGTGTCGTCCCCCTTCCCAGCGTCTTTTCATCCTGCAGACCCTTCCGATGAATCCATGCCGGATTCACTGCTGGAATCCTCGGAAGAATCACTGTCATCATCATCATCATCATTTTTGTCTGCTCTTGCAGGTGTCACCGATGCTGTCTCGGGCTGGTCAGGGGAACCCTCAGGTTTGTTCTCCTGCGACTCCACCATCAACTTTCCCATGTGCTCTTCAAGGGTTGCCTCAAGAGCAGCTGCTGACAGCTCTTCCATGTAGCTTTCCAAGGAAAGCCCCTTCTTTGCGGCTTCCCCTTTCCATGTGGATAGGGTCTCGATGGAAAAGGCTGGTGATGAAAAGCCTGACTCCTGGTCACTAGCGATGAGAGGTGGTCGACATGGTGGGGTGCGCATGGTAGGCTCCTCTCCCCGCGTTTCAACACTTGGCGGAGACTTGAAGGAAACACGACGGGTCGGAGGAGTTGCTTCTGCAGCTTTCAACTCTTGAGTCTTGGAGTCAGATTTCCGTTTCTTTGAGATTCCTTGTCCAACATCCTTCTTCTTCTTCTCAACGATCTTTTTCTCTTGGGTCTTCCCGGTCTTCTCAGTCTTGCTACTTTTTTTGTCCTTGTCCTTCTTTGCGGTCTTCATGACTTCTTTTGCTGACTTTGCCTTCGTCTTTGAATCAGCTTTTTGATTCTTTTTGGGCCTCTTATCAAGCTTGTTGTCTTTCTTCCCCATGATCAACAGCTCGAAGGGAGCAGGCGCAGGTTCACCGTATATATGATCTACTGCAGGTTTGCATGATACAAGCATGAAACCTATAGACCTTCTCCCAATAATGGCTGAACCTATATGTAATGGCTGAACACCCAAAGTAATGGCTGAACACCCAAAGTAATGGCTGAACCCCCAAGTAATGGCTGAACCCCCAGCATAAGTGTATACATGGTATATATTCCACATGAAATCCATCAGTTTTGGGTGAAAATTTGCCTAACGGCTGTTCTGCACCAATAACGGCTGAGTTCTCACCCTCTAATGGCTGAATGATTTCAGTTTTTGGAAAAATCAATATGTTTTGAGATTTTTGGTCACTACACCTGCAATCCCATCCTATAAGCATAGAATGGGCAGATGGCACCTTTGCAGCTTTGCTTCAGGACAAATCTGCCCATCCAGACCTGCCATGCATCATGGAGGCCGATCGTGGGTCCAGATCATGAAGGGGTACATGCAGGGTAGGAATTAATTCAAAAAACTTGCAAAGCATGTTTCTCATCACCCCCAACACCTTCTTGTTGGACAGCATGTAAAGGTTTACCAAGGTTACCCCTAACATATTTACAGAAATGTGAAATGCGACCAACTGAAAGTAAACAGCCAAGTCCCATTTCAACGGCTTCACTTTTTTGACCGAACATGATGAAACGTTGCTTTAAACACCGACCCCTTGCAAAAGGGTATATGCATTACGCTAATTGGGAAATGCCGTGGGAACCCAAAAACCCACAAGCATTTTGCATTTTGCAAATTGCCATTTGCTTTCCAGAAGATCCTACATCCTAAGAAAGGAATTCAAAAATGGGCTTGAGGTTTGCACACCTGACCCACATAGCATCCTTGGATGTGCGCCGCTTGACAGTCTTACACTGCCTAACGGCTTCCTTGATCAGGTTCAGTGCCCGTCGACGATGGTCCTTCAGGTGGGCAGTCCGCAGTCTGGACATAGCACGGCCCAACCTGGGCTGTGAACCCCCAATCTTATAGACTCACGACCAGCATCAAATCTTTTGGATCACACCTGGAAAACACAGCTATACACATGTTTCAGTGGAGGAACGGAATAGGGTAGGCCTGCGACCCCTTGAGATGGCAGCTTCCCTTGATTCGTGGTTTTCCACTCGAATCCGTATATCTGGTGACCAAAGCAATCACCTCATCAGCGTTTCTACGGAAGTAGGGCTTGTAGCTGGCCAGCTCGGAAATCTCTTCTTTACCTAAGCAAGGCTAAAGGTTGATGGCAAACTGGACAAAATATTTCAATACTATAATTCAAAAAGTGCATGCAAAGACCCTTGTTGGACCAACATCCATTCATCAATGAGTCTGTGTTTACCACTACTTTTCCGCCCTCCTTCAGACTTTCAATTTTGAGACATACTATCGCCTTGCCTTGCAAAACCATAAACAATTGTTGGGCATACTTCACTATACTGACAATAAACAAGTCACTGCAGTACAGCCACGTTGGTTTAGAGCTCAGTGCTCCGTAGTCATACATGCATATCCTGTGTCGGAAAATATACAAGATGGATGCCATGTGCTGGAAACAGGGGTGGTTTTCCATTTGGGATCCTTGGGGTTGCTCCAGCACAAACCACACCTGCAAGGCTGCCAGCACCCAAAGGATGACTAAAGTGCGGGCACATAGTACGTTGCCTTGCCAGACGCTTGGGTGAGATTCTTCTCCAAGAGGGCGACTGGCAGAACGTTTTGCAGTACCAGAGTTCCTTAGTACCATCAAAATTGTTTGGAAGAGATCTTTGTATTACACGGCGATTGGTATTGTCAGGTCACACCCAAGATGAAAACATATAGACATATAAAGGCAAAGTTTGGTGGGCATGCACGGGACCCTAGAAGAGTCAATGTTGATAGCATGGACTATACATTAAACCACCATGGAATGGGATTGGTTTCCACCGGAAAAAAGTTGACAAACCAACTTGAATAGTTTGGTGAAAGCTGGAAACCATTTTCTTGTGTAGTCTGAGGGGCATATATACGAATGAACTGCACACAGGTGCAGCTAACGCCCCTCCTCCAGGGCGAACACACGTCGCATGGTAAAAGGCTGACAAAAAGCCATGGTCACTCAGCAAATCCATTGTCTTCGGATCATGGTCGTAGTCCATAGCCACGCTGTTGGTGCGACCCTCCTGGAGAACAACCGCAATGAGAGAGAGATATATATATATAATACTATATATTCTTATTTTTGACATCATCGAAAAACAATTTATATAGCATAGCGTTTGACACAAAATCATTTTCAGATATTTCCACGCCAGCTAGGGGTTGCGCCTGGAAATCATTCTACAGGCACCCAGAATGCATTTTTTCAAATAGGTTGGGTGTGGATCGATTTGGAAGGAAGTTCCAAACATCCCTATCTAGAACACATGTGGAAACACCATGTGTTGGGACATGAGACCCACTGGAATGTTTTGATGACAAGATCATGGCTATTGGTAAGACAACTGATGTCCCATTCCCATCCTCAAACTCTCCACGGGTGACAGCACACTGGCCAGCAAACAGCTCGAGGTGGTCCAACTCATGCTCGGGCCCCCATTGGAGCGAAGGGAGCGCAAACAAAGAGCACACCAGCGAAGCGATCACCTGGGATATGGAGAGGTTTGTTTTTTTATTGTACTTGATGCCCTGATCCATGTAGATAGCTGACCTATTCCTAATGTGGCTACCATGGTGCTTCTAAAGCCATCAAGGTGACATGGGAAATCTTTGGAAAGCTTTGAGAAAGTGATTATCATCATGGGGCACTACTAAGAACCCATCTAAAACGAAGTTAATGCACCACCTAGAAAACCCATTCATCTATCTTCCAGTGTTCAATTGCTTTTTACACACCTCTTATTGGTGAAACTATCTCAAACCCACAAACCAATGTACTATGGAAGATTTTTTGAACCCTGAAGTCACCACGGCTGAATATTTTTAGAGCCTGGGTGCTGCGGGAGCCTTGAACATTCTCAGGCCTGAAATGATGCTGCGGCGCTTGGTCTCTCGAAAGGACAGCTTGTTGTCACTGTCAGTCTGCAGCTTGGGCGTTTTAGACCGGGCATAGGCAATCACTGTCCGCTTGGCCACAGGTTTTCCCATAGCTAAGAACTTTCAAGGATTCCCTGGTTACACGCCCTCCAAGGATTGATTGAGCTAAAACAGGAATTTCGGCTATCAGACTGGTTCACGACATAAATGCTCAAGACATACATATGCATGCATGCATCCATTACATACATACATACATACATACATAAATTACATTACATTACATTACATTGCATAGATACATAGATAGATAGATAGATAGATAGATAAATAGATAGATGGATAGATGGATAGATGGATAGATGGATAGATGGATAGATGGATAGATGGATGGATAGATAGATAGATAGATAGATAGATATAGATAGATAGATAGATAGAAAGATAGATAGATAGATCGATAGATAGATAGAGAAAAAGACAGAAAGAAAGATAGATAGATAGACAGCTAGACAGGTAGATAGATATGTAGATATATGCTATACATATAGATATAGGCAGACAGACAGACAGACAAACAGATAGATAGGTAGAAAGAAAGACGGATAGATACATACATACATTACATTACATTACATTACATTACATTGCAAAGATAGATAGATAGATAAATAGATAGATGGATAGATGGATAGATGGATAGATGGTTAGATGGATGGATGGATGGATGGATAGATAGATAGATATAGATAGATAGAAAGATAGATAGATAGATCGATAGATAGATAGAGAAAAAGACAGAAAGATAGATAGATAGATAGACAGCTAGACAGGTAGATAGATATGTAGATATATGCTATATATATAGATATAGGCAGACAGACAGACAGACAAACAGATAGATAGGTAGAAAGAAAGACGGATAGATACATACATACATACATTACATTACATTACATTACATTACATTACATAGATAGATAGATAGATAGATAGATAGACAGCTGGCAATTTGCCACTTTGCTTGGCCCCTAAAAACGGACCCCACCAAGTTCCCCGAAAAATAGAGTTTCCCAAAGGAATCTTGACACTTGGTGGGGTCCGTTTTCCGGGGCGAACCCAAGTGGAAAATTGGCACATAGATGCATAGATGCATAGATGCGTAGATAGATAGATAGATAGATAGACAGATAGATAGATAGATAGACAGATAGACAGATGAAAGAGAGAGAGGGATATATAGATAGATAGATAGATAGATAGATAGATAGATAGATAGATTGATAGATTGATAGATAGATAGATAGATGCGTCCATCCATACATACATACATACACGATAGTGGTGCAAGTTCTCATCAGCTCGTACAGTGTCCTTTGTGTCCTATGGCATGTTTCTCCCATGTTTTGAAAAACCAATGTCTGACTTGAGGAGTTTGTGTTGGATAAGATGTTTCCTTTCACCCTGAAACTGTAAAGGAATATATAAGTCATTGTAACAGTGACAAGCGGGACACACTGGTTTTGCAGCCGGTTTCGGAACTCAGTGGGCATGACAGGCAGTGCCCCAACATTGATGAACCGCATGGTTCAAAGTTCAAAGACTGATGCTTTGCATCATGTTTCCCAAATAGCATTATGACTAATGCCATTCCCCGTGATTCATCCTTGATCACTTCTACGTGGATCTACAGACCAGCCAAGCGCCAACCCATTGTGGGAAATGATAAGATAAAACATCTGTTATTTGTTGATATTTGTTGACCAGATAATTCTATGAACATGTGGCTTGAAAAAGATGTCATGGGTCCCACTGGATTGCGATCTATCCTGCTCTTGCCATCACAAATACCAAGATCAAAACACTCATGGTAGCACGCCAGCTTTGGTGCATGCTGCAATCCAGGCCGATCGGGGCCCACCATGCTTACCCCAAGATACCTGACCCTTGTTGGGACCACGCACATAGTACGCACGATTCTTCAACAAGACCTCCAACTTGGCCGCCCCCTTGATCACCGTGTAGCTGTGTCGTCCCAAATGACGACGGTTCGGATCAGGACACGCATTGCCTCAAGAGCCGGCACTTCGAGGAAATAAGATGCAGCTACAGGGTCTGGTGAGGCTCTGATATTTACGGAGGATATCCTTGATGAATGATGGGCCCGAAAAGATATTAACACATGTTAACCACTGATGTTTTGGTTATGTGTGGGTTTTCCACCTGCAGCTACATTGGGGAACCTTGACACCCAAATCAATCAAACTTGCTGGAAGTTGTTTTGCAAATCCATCAAAATGATCCCATCCCCTTCATTATCTTAGCATGTCTCGACGTTTGCCATCCTCTTTTTAGCAAGCTGCGGGGAATGCCCATCTCGGTCAAATTGTAATCGTGGTACATCAGGTCATAGTGAGCCTGCAGCATGGGGTGTGGAAAAGGGATGCAGAAATTGTTTGACTGCATGGGAAACCAATGGTGGTAATATCAACCCCTTTTCAAGAATAGCTGGAAAATGCTGGAAAATAGTGGTGGTTAAAGTAGCCCTGACGGAAACGATGGTAGGTTTAGCAAACCCTATTCTTGAATGGTGGTAGGAATCCTATGCAGGGTTTGTCTGCATATAAAAACAAATGTATGTATAAATATGTATGTACATATATATATTTTTATATATATATGTGCGTACATGTATAATATATAGATACATATATATTATCGAAGGAAGTTTAGAAGTCAAACTTCCGACAATATGGACAGATGAAAAGCAGAGCAGGGCAGAGGGAGAGAGAAGAGAAAGATTAGAAGAGAGAAGATCAGAGAAGAGAAAGAGTCAGAAGAAAGAAGATGCAGATGCGCGAAAAGGTAGGAAAGTCGCGAAACACTGTGTTTTTCCAATGATTTGTGGCTCCGGAGGCTCGAAAAGTAGGCTCGCTAAAGCGGCGGGTGCGGAGCCAGCTGGCCAGATGAGAGATGAAAAATTGCACGCCGATGTGGCGCGAAGCACATTTCCAAGTCAAAATGTCCAAAACACACCAGGTTCGGACCACTTTTGGAAGTTGAGATGTCGAAAAAGTGCACGCCGTTGTGGCGCGAAGCACATTTCCAAGTCAAAAGTGTAAAAAACTGGCGATCTCGGACCAATTTTGGAAGTTGAGATGTCGAAAAAGTGCACGCCGTTGTGGCGCGAAGCACATTTCCAAGTCAAAATGTACAAAACACACCAGGTCCGGACCACTTTTGGAAGTCAAGATGTCGAAAAAGTGCACGTCGTTGTGGCGCGAAGCACATTCTGAAGTCAAAAGTGTTAAAAACTGGCGGTCTCCGACCACGTTTGGAAGCTAGACAGAGAGACAGATGAAAGAGAGAGAGAGAGAGATAGATCGATAGATAGATAGATAGATAGATAGATAGATAGATAGATAGATAGATAGATACATAGATAGACAGATAGACAGGTAGACAGCTAGACAGAGAGACAGATGAAAGAGAGAGAGAGAGAGAGATAGATCGATAGATAGATAGATGGATACATAGATAGATAGATAGATTGGTAGGTAGGTAGCTAGGTGCACCATAGATAGATAGGTAGACAGACAGACAGACAAACAGATAGATAGATAGATAGATAGATAGACAGGTAGACAGCTAGACAGATAGACCGATGAAAGAGAGAGAGAGAGAGATATAGATAAATAGATAGACAGGTAGACAGCTAGACAGATAGACAGATGAAAGAGAGAGAGAGAGATAGATAGATAGATCGATAGATAGATAGATAGAGTAATCAAATGAAAGAGAGAGAGGGAGAGATAGATAGCTAGATAGAGAGATAGATAGATAGATAGATACATAGCTAGATAGATAGGTAGGTAGGTAGACAGTCAGAGAAAGAGTGAGAGAGATCAATCGTCTTTCGATCCATCAGTGGCTTCGCTCTGCCATCCCTGATTCACAACAACCAATCTCTCCTATAGGTTTCCTATTTTTGAAACTTCCGCAACCGCCTTGTGCGGTACTACTGGTACGGTAACTACATTTAAATATACGGACTTTTAAATATACGAAAAGGTATTTTAGACTACCTCCGGGAAGGTTTTCCTTGGCCCGCCCGGTCATTTAAACATACGGAATCCAATTCGTTTAAACATACGGTAACTACATTTAAATATACGAACTAGTATTTCATACTACCTCCGGGGCCTCACGGTCTGGCCCGCCCTCCACATATTTAAATGTCGTTACCGTATATCTATAGGTATGTATACATAGGGAAAAATATATACAAGGGGGGGCCTGAGAACCCAAAAGCAAAACGACAGCAAACAAATTTGAGTAATACTGATAATTGGCTTATTTCTTTTTCGCCTCTTGCCAGCTTCTTTTTGGAAGATGAACATTATGGACGAATTCACTGCAAATTTCATTTTTCCCCACCTGCCAGGTGAGGGTTGTTAGAGTTTATCAGAGTTGTTCTCCTCGGCTAGCTGTCCTCCTCGTCCTCGTCCTCCTCCTCCTCGTCCTCCGCCTTCTCCTCCTCCTCTGCCTCCTCCTCCTCCAGTTTCTCCTCGATCATGTCTGCATCAACTTCCACCTCAACTTCCGCCTTGCCAACTCTTCGCCAAGCTCTTTGCCAACTTCCCAGCTCAGTGTGCACCGCTGGACCTCAACCTGGGACCAAACAGCTCAGTGTGCACCGCTGGACCTCAACCTGCGGCCTTCCCAGCTCAGTGTGCACCGCTGGACCTCAACCTGGGACCTTCCCAGCTCAGTGTGCACCGCTGGACCTCAACCTGGGACCTTCCCAGCTCAGTGTGCACTCTGCACCTCAACGGCCAGATAGAATACCAGAAGATATGCCAGATAGAGTGTTAGAAGATATGTCATCAAAGGAAGTTTAGGGGGAGAAACTTCCGTGTTACGGACTTTTAGAATGTCAGGGAAAGAGTTAGTCAAAGAAAGAGTTAGCAAAGAAAGAGTTCGTCAGGGAAAGAGTTAGTCAAAGAAAGAGTTAGTCAAAGAAACAGTTAGCAAAGAAAGAGTTCGTCAGGAAAGAGTTAGTCAAAGAAAGAGTTAGTCAAAGAAACAGTTAGTCAGGGAAAGAGTTAGTC